GGAGGATAGGCTGAGTCGTGAGGCGGCAAACTTACAGTTACTGTATGACATGTATATATCAGGAAGGGCTGCAGACAGCTTCCAAGACAAATAAAGCCTATGTCTTAGCTGTGCAAGGCCCTCATTCTGGTGATTTTCTATTAGCTGTTTATAAATTCTCCCTTGGGCACCCGCCTCGATCCACAGACCCTAAATGTGTGTGTGTGTGTGTGTGTGTGTGTGTGTGTGTGTGTGTGTGTGTGTGTGTGTTCCTCCATTCGCCCCTATCTTCTCTGAACACAGGAATATGTGTGCTAATGTGTCGTCAGACCATAACTGCCAATAAGTTATTACCTGCCACCAATTAGAAGGAAAGAGGGGTAGGTTTTAAGCAGGTAATGACATCGTTAAGAGAAGCGTGACTACGGTGACATGTTCATAACAAGAGGAACCCCAGAGGTGCAGACCTGACGGCAGACTGAAGCAGTCGTATGAGGTCACCTTGCCACGCTGGAGTGATGGTAAGCAAGTTGTTTGGGATAAAACATTTGTATCTATGTATGTGGAAGCCAATCAACAATAAGTGTTTAAGGGCGCGGGGGGGGGGGGTGGCTGCTACAGATGCCTGGAACAGTTTTAAGGGTTTGTGGGTTTGTGTTAATAGATCCAGAGACAATAGGTTAATAGGTCCAGAGAACTAAACAACATCGATATAATGGACACACACAACGACAGTATAACGATAAACATTGAAGAAGCACTTCATATAAAACCCTCGTTTAAACTTACGTTTAAGTAGATCTTACAATCACTATACACAATAAATTCTAAAAAAAAAAAAATAACAATTACTACCAATCTCCGTGTCATCGAGATTAATTGCGATTAGGAATTTTTGATGAATAATTATTTTCTATGTTATAATACAGAGATTGGTATAACCTGTTCTGCATGCCTGTTACGGTGTTATGTGGGTGGTGGGGTGTTATGGGTGTGCTATGAGGCAACGCCATGAGGATGGTGTTGAGGCGGTGTGTCATGACACTCCCTCATGATACTGTCATGAGGGAGTGAAGAGTTGGAAACATCGATTGTGAGTACAGGAGACTGCGTGAAGACCAGGCAGTCAACAGGATGCTTGAAGTATGCAATAATCTGTCACAAGTTTTGGCAATAGCATAGTAGGTTGGCAGGTCCGGATGGCCCACTTTGGCAGGTCCGGACGGCCCACCTTGGCAGGTCCGGATGGCCCACCTTGGCAGGTCCGGATGGCCCACCTTGGCAGGTCCGGACGGCCCACCTTGGCAGGTCCGGACGGCCCACCTTGGCAGGTCCGGACGACCCACCTGGGCAGGTCCAGACGGCCCACCTGGGCAGGTCCGGACGGCCCACCTCGGCAGGTCCGGACGGCCCACCTCAGTAGGTCTGGACTGCACACCTCGGCAGGTCCGGACGGCCCACCTCGGCAGGTCTGGACGACCCACCTCGGCAAATCTGGACGGCCCACCTCGGCAGGTCCGGACGGCCCACCTCGGCAGGTCTGGACGGCCCACCTTGGCAGGTCCGGACGGCCCACCTTGGCAGGTCCGGATGGCCCACCTTGGCAGGTCCGGACGGCCCACCTTGGCAGGTCCGGATGGCCCACCTTGGCAGGTCCGGACGGCCCACCTTGGCAGGTCCGGATGGCTCACCTTGGCAGGTCCGGACGGCCCACTTTGGCAGGTCCGGCCGGCCCACCTTGGCAGGTCCGGACGACCCACCTGGGCAGGTCCAGACGGCCCACCTGGGCAGGTCCGGACGGCCCACCTCGGCAGGTCCGGACGGCCCACCTCAGTAGGTCTGGACTGCACACCTCGGCAGGTCCGGACGGCCCACCTCGGCAGGTCTGGACGGCCCACCTCGGCAAATCTGGACGGCCCACCTCGGCAGGTCCAGACGGCCCACCTCGGCAGGTCTGGACGGCCCACCTCGGCAGGTCTGGAGTGCCCACCTCAGTAGGTCTGGGCTGCACACCTCGGCAGGTCCGGACGGCCCACCTCGGCAGGTCCGGACGGCCCACCTCGGCAGGTCGATACGTCCCACCTCTCCAGGTCCGGACGGCCCACCTCGGCAAGTCCGGACGGTCCACCTTGGCAAGTTGGGACGGCCCATCTTGGCAAGTCGGGACAGCCCACCGCGGAATATCGTCTCAACAACCTGTCCTCTCACATAACATCTCATACATAAAAGAATGAACCAAACCATCAAATATTATCAGGTGGTTTTAGTACAAATGTAACTGAAATAATGACATTTTTGGAGTAACGGGTCCCAATAGATTAGACGGCTGCTATGGTCTGAACTATTCCGTTTAGACAAAACAAAGGCATTTTAGTGTCAAGTCGTGAGGACGGGTATGCAGCAGAGGAGAGCCGAGGGGCTCACCCGCCTGATCCACCTCTCTGGCTGCTTTCCGGCCACACAATGGCAGCTGGTGATTGATGACTCGCCGCCGTCAGACACCTGCCGTCCACGAGATCAACCAGGATGCATTAATCTGGATTATCTCGCCGCGTGTCGCTAGCGGTTCCTTCCCGGTCGCTGGAGGTAGCAGCATCATCATCTTGCTCATCTCTCAACCCCAGCCTCCCCTCCACAGAGGGCATTAACTGAGCGCTAACTGAAAGGCAATGCCCGGTCATTTGCCTCCGCAACAATCGTGGCCAAGCGCCTTACAATCGATCGGCAGGCGAGGAGTCACAATAACGTGGCTGAAAAATGTTGACCAGACCACACACTAGAAAGTGAAGGGACGACGACGTTTCGGTCCTTCCTGGACCATTCTCAAGTCGATTGTGTGAGAATTCAACTCAATGCACTCAATTTACACAATCGACATGAGATTGGTACAGAACGGACCGAAATATCGTCGTCCCTTCACTTTTTATTGTGTGTGGTTTGATCAACACTTTATTTCGATCATTTGAAGAACCTGAGGAAAGCCGTCCTGGCGAGATGGAGACAAGCAGGAGAAAAGAGGCTGGCATGAAATGAAACCTCCCGTTTTATACTTAAAATTCAATTGCTGTTGAAATTGAGGGTTGACGAACACGTGAATGGTCTCTGTTGTTCGACTTCTTGATATACAAGAAAATACGTTGCTTCACTTTTTCTTGTGTAAAGTTTTCTCGTGTAAAGTTTTATTTATAAGGAAGCAACTGAGAGCGTCTCGTGTGCCTCTTTTACCCATAATCGACTTCATAAGTTACAAAAGTTACTTATTTGGGGTAATGTGTCGGGCCAAATAATTTCATTCAAGATAAAGAAGATAAATTTAAGGCGATAACAAATGACAGGGAAACGTCCAGGAGAGAGTCATGAGAAGATGAAAACTTTATAAAGTAAACGGCGATAGAGACCCTGGACCAAGGGAGAGAGACTGGACGGAGGGAGAGAGACTGGACGGAGGGAGAGAGACTGGACGGAGGGAGAGAGACTGGACGGAGGGAGAGAGACTGGACGGAGGGAGAGAGACTGGACGGAGAGAGAGAGACTGGGCGGAGAGAGAGAGACTGGACGGAGGGAGAGAGACTGGACGGAGGGAGAGAGACTGGACGGAGAGAGAGAGACTGGACGGAGGGAGAGAGACTGGACGGAGGGAGAGAGAGACTGGACGGAGGGAGAGAGAGACTGGACGGAGAGAGAGAGACTGGACGGAGGGAGAGAGAGACTGGACGGAGGGAGAGGGAGACTGGACGGAGGGAGAGAGACCCAGGACGGAGGGAGAGAGACTGAACGGAGGGAGAGAGAGACTGGACGGAGGGAGAGAGACTGGACGGAGGGAGAGAGAGACTGGACGGAGAGAGAGAGAGACTGGACGGAGAGAGAGAGACTGGACGGAGGGAGAGAGAGACTGGACGGAGGGAGAGAGAGACTGGACGGAGGGAGAGAGACCCAGGACGGAGGGAGAGAGACTGAACGGAGGGAGAGAGAGACTGGACGGACGGAGGGAGAGAGAGAGAGAGAGAGAGAGAGAGAGAGAGAGAGAGAGAGAGAGAGAGAGAGAGAGAGAGAGAGAGAGAGAGAGAGAGAGAGAGAGAGAGACGGACGGGAGGAGAGAGAGACTGGACGGAGGGAGAGAGACTGGACGGAGGGAGAGAGAGACTGGACGGAGGGAGAGAGACTGGACGGAGGGAGAGAGAGACTGGACGGAGGGAGAGAGACTGGACGGAGGGAGAGAGAGACTGGACGGAGAGAGAGAGACTGGACGGAGGGAGAGAGAGACTAGACGGAGGGAGAGAGAGACTGGACGGAGGGAGAGAGACTGGATGGAGGGAGAGAGACTGGACGGAGGGAGAGAGACTGGACGGAGGGAGAGAGAGACTGGACGGAGGGAGAGAGACTGGACGGAGGGAGAGAGAGACTGGACGGAGGGAGAGAGAGAGACTGGACGGAGGGAGAGCGACTGGACAGAGGGAGAGAGACTGGACGGAGGGAGAGAGACTGGACGGAGGGAGAGAGACTGGACGGAGGGAGAGAGAGACTGGACGGAGGGAGAGAGAGACTGGAAGGAGGGAGAGAGAGACTGGAAGGAGGGAGAGAGAGACTGGACGGAGGGAGAGAGACTGGACGGAGGGAGAGAGACTGGACGGAGGGAGAGAGACTGGACGGAGGGAGAGAGAGATTGGACGGAGGGAGAGAGACTGGACGGAGGGAGAGAGACTGGACGGAGGGAGAGAGACTGGACGGAGGGAGAGAGACTGGACGGAGGGAGAGAGTCGGTCTTCCCAACCGACTATTAATAACAAAAAATCAGTTGAATGATTGTGGGAGATTTAGCTGACTCGTGTCGCTTTAATCGGAAATGAGGAATTAGCTACGAGCTTAATTGTGTCTTTTGGTGCTCCTGTTTCACCGAAATGGCTCCAAGTAGAACTATTTGAATGGAACAACCGAAGAACAATTATGAACAATGTTAATCCCACACCGTATGTAATAGTGTGTATTAACACGATCAACAGAAATTGCACTGACATTCCTAAATGAATATAAGTTATGAGCAGGTATTTGGCATCGTTACTCTCTCTCTCTCTCTCTCTCTCTCTCTCTCTCTCTCTCTCTCTCTCTCTCTCTCTCTCTCTCTAAAGATGAAGACCAAAGAGGTGGAGGAGGATCTCCAGGAGATCAGTTCCGCCCCGCTGTACGTACTCATGCGGGCCGTCACACCACACTCTAAAAGCCGAGTTGGAACCACTCCTTCTCCCCCCCCCTCCCCTCTGCCTTTCGCCTACCCCCTCCCCCCCCCTCCCCTCTGCCTTTCGCCTACCCCCTCCCCCCTCCTCAAATGGGCAGAGTTTCCTTCACCCTGATGGCCCTGTTACCTAGCTGTAAATAGGTACTTGGGAGTTAGACAGCTGCTCCGGGTTGCTTCCTGGGTGTGTGTGTACTCACCTATTTTTGCTTGCGGGGGTTGAGCTCTGGCTCTTTGGTCCCGCCTCTCAACTGCCAATCAACTGGCCGACCACCAGACCATTAACCAAAAGCGTCAATTAATCGGGGTCTGGACCAATTAATCGATCATTAAAGCCTTAAAGCCTTATGGCTTGATCCCCAAATTACTTGGAAAAGGAGGGATGAATCTACATGGCTGCTGACTCTAAGCTCAGTGAATATGTTATTCTAATAATCGCCCTGGGAGGGGGGGGGGTCTCATTGGTGCCGTGCCAAGTGGCACTCATTTAATTTGTTCATACCCAAACCGAGTCCTGTTGGGCACGTACCCAACAACAATAACTGTTAACGCACTAATAAGGCAAGGCTAGTACACACTAACATCAACAGCAATGTTGCACAACCTTCTATTAGTGGCAACAGAGGTTTGTTAATAATATGTACGTTGCTCCTGACACTCGAGGGATTGACCAGTCCGCGAGGATAGTTACTCAGTGATGAACGTTGGTGTGTGTCACTCTGAAGTTGTGTCGACTTGGGACACTCACACACAATCTCTTGGGTAAGAGATGTGAGTTGGGTGCACCTTGAGGGTCGACACGGGGATGTGATGGCATTCTTACAAGTGGCTTGGGACTGTCTACGACAGTCGTCCAAGCCACTTAGCCACTTACCTAGCCGTCCAAGTGGGTGGGCCATCCCATCCCAAATACTTATCCTAACCACCTCCAAAGGCTATATAGTCGTAATCGCTTCGTACTTCCCCAAACGTGAGACATCTCCCGTCCCGTAGGGTGCAGTCGCACCCCCCCCCCCTCCCCTAATCACCAGTATCAGCTCTTGATACTGGTGATGGCTCAAAAGGGCCATCACTTACTGGCTATACATGCCCGTGCCACCTTTTTGGTAGCTTAATCTTCATCAATCAATCAATCAGTACTTTCCCCTAATAACTCGCTCCCTCAGGCTTCTCTCCGCGTCAGTTCCTTCATTCCTACTACTTCCGACGACGGTGGTCGTGATGATGATGCTGAAGATTTTGGTGGTACTGATGATGCTGTGAACGCTAGAGTAGCGGCTGATGGTACAGGTTCTGGTGGTGATGAAAGAGGGTACTGGCGGCCAAATCTCAAGACAAGAGATCAGCTTGAAAGCGACAATATTATCTCACCTCTCATCCGTTCATCATCCCCCATCTTCATCTCACAGATCGCCACTCCCAGCACGGGCTGAGAACACTTGGTAATAGTCCCCCCAAGAGACGCATGACCTCGCCTAGCAGCCGTACTCTAATATGTTTAATTACACATCTACTCTAATTTATACTGGCTACATTTCAAGTGGCGGCGGCCAGCTGCCAGGGAGGCTGGCCAGGGGCCTCTCCTGGATACTTGCAGGATAACGGATGGGACCAGATGGCTGGTTGCCAGCTACCTAGCACGTTGGGTGGGTTTTCACTGGCTGCCTAGTTTGCTAGTTGGTTGGTTGGTTGGCTGGCTGCCTAGTTAGTTGGTTGGTTGGTTGGTTGGCTTCCTAGTTAGCTGGTTGGTTGGTTGGCTGCGTAGTAAGCTGGTTGGTTGGTTGGCTGCCTAGTTAGCTAGTTGGCTGGCAGGCTAGCTACTTAGTTGGCTGGCTAGCTAGCTACTAGGTAGGTTGGTTGGGTGGTTGGCTGGCTAACTTCCTGGGTTGGTTGGTTGGTTACTTTGCTAGTTACTTGGTTGGTTTGCTAGCAACTTAGTTTCTAGACTTTTCTTTTACTAGCAGGTTGAATAGTAATACTGCTGTCTATATACACTTGATGGATGGGTTAACTTAGTCCCGAGCTAGCGGGTGGGGATGGTGGTTTAATTAGGCGTTTGCCAAGGTCGTTAGGTGATAGTATTAAGGGTGATAGTGGTGGTTTGGACAGGTGCTAGTAGCAGTGGTTATCTGCTAGTGGTGGAGGTGGTTGGGTCCTTTGCAAGTAGTGGTGTCTTATCTAGTTGTGGAGGTCATGGTGATGCTTGGTGAACCATATCCACTTTAACTGACTTCACTTGCAGAGAAATCTATTCCAGCCTTCACTGTGAAACCTTAAACCTCGCTTTGCAGATCTCAGAGGATAAATCTTGCAGTAGGTGAAATGATGTGTATGTTTCGTCTTTTCTGCTAGGATTACTGTCGTAAGATTTGAGAAAAAGATCACCCAGGGCAGAGTTCAACAGACCAGCCTGACGATTTTATCAGCTAATGGTTATGATTAAGGCAAAGAAAATTGGGTTGATTGTTGGAGATTATATTGGTGATTGTGCTGGCTGCTAGGGTGGTGGTAGCAGTTAGTCGAGGTGGATAATGCAGGAGATTGTTGTCGGTGGTTGTGGTTCCTGCAGGTGGTGGTGGGGGTGGTTGTTTCAGGGGGTGGTGGGGTGGTTGTGGCAGGGGATGGTGGGGTGGTTGTGGCAGGGGGTGGTGGGGTGGTTGTGGCAGGGGGTGGTGGTGATGGTGGTTGGGGTGGTGGTTCTCTGACTGGGCCAGAGTTCACTGACGGTCGCAAGTGGTGGTGGCAGTCCAATATAGCGAGCCTCGCTTCTCACCGCCGGCTGCCACCTCAGATACCTGCAACAGCAAGCATTAACTCTCCAGTTCCTCTCTTCCACCTCCTCCTCCTAATTCTGCTCCTGCTAGTTGCTCCAGCTGCTGGTGGTTGCTACAGCTGGTGATGCTGGTCGCTCCAGCTGCCGGTGGTTGCTACAGCTGGTGCTGTTTGTGGTGCTGCAGTTGTTGGTAGTGTTGTTGGTATTTGTGTTGCGGTTTCTGGCGTCGCTCCCAGTGATGGTGCTTCGTCGACTTGTTGCCAGCACCACACACACACACACACACACACACACACACACACACACACACACACACACACACACACACACACACAGTACCTTAGCTGCAACATACATCAAACTCCGCTGACGTGCGAATACGTTAGGAGTGGTGCCTCACGAATAAGCTCAGTCTGCTGCTCCCACCACCATTACTGCAGCTGCCGGCGTGTGATAGCTCGAGCATGCATCAACTGTTGCTCCTGCGCCCACGGGACTATCTCAGTTACAGCATACATCATCTGCAATTGCCCGGAGAATATGTTAGGCGGTGTGTGCATTAAGTCCCTTACCCCCCCCCCCTCCCACCGTTGTTTCGCATATATAATGCAAGGACTATATCAACGGCACATCATAGTGCGATGTACTCAGTACAGCACTGTACATGCACACTCCCTTTTCTTGGGAATTTCGCATGGGAGAAAAAGTGGACAAAAGCCAAGCGCGATGCTGCTGCTGCTGCTGCACTGGGCATCTTTAAGTAGGATCAGACAAACTGTTGCTGCCGCGAGGATATATCGCAGCCCAAGCATATATCATATGTTGCCGGCGGGATGCGGGAGACAGGGAGAGTATATCAGCTCTCCTGCTGCTGCTGGTGGAGGTGGTGGTGGTGGGTGGGGGTTTCTTGGCACTTACACACCATATTTTTCTTCTCGTTGGAGAAGGATGTTATCAGATAAGTGTTTAGGCCACTTAACAAGCTGTTGAACAATGTTAATTGTAAGATACATAAATTTGGCTTCGCGTCATCATTCTATCGTCATCATTTTAAATGTTAATTGTGTAATGATAAACACATACACGTATTTCACGAAATATATATATTTTGATTTAATGTTGATGAGTTGCACATTAAATATTCTTCGTTGTTCTGTGTGAAAATTACGTTAGGTCGTGTCAATGTCATCTGTTTACAGAACCGGTGGGAAGGACATGTTTGGTACACGATATGCTATGTCTTCGCAGCTACTCTAACACTGTTGACGTGAATAAGTTTATTTTACGATCGTTTACCAGTGGGTCCATCTCTTGATCCCTAATACCTGTGGGTCAATACCTCGAATGTCTCTAAATCTGGAAAATATTTCAGGTATTCTCGCGCCAAAGTTGACAGACACACTCTCATAGATTCGTCACGCTAACCTGGTTATAAAATACACAAGAGGTCCGGAACGCAGAATAACAAACTTTCCAACCTAATGTTTGATGTAGTCATAATATTATTTTATATTTTAGAGGACGTATGGCCTTTGAAATGGCCCTTCACACACACAAAGGTTTGATATTGCAGCTTTAACAGGTCAGCGTTGAGGCAGCACCACCGATGTGATTAATCTCCTGCATCATTTCAGCTAAATTACCAATCAAACTCGGAGCTCTAATACGCACCTGCACGCCTGCCTAGTCCTCGATGTCATCAACATCTCTAGAATGAAATACTAATTCCAATATACACAGAGTTTTCTGTGTAATACAATTTAACACATATTAAAAACAATTATTAACGGAACTTCTGGCAGAATACATGAGTACGAGCTTAACATTTTTTACCATGCTAAATATTGACGGCATAAAGACGCTCTTAAGTGTCACACACACACACACACACTCACACACACTCACACACACACACACACACACACACACACACACACACACACACACACACACACACACACACACACACTCACACACACACACACACACACACATACATACACACATACACTCACACACACACACACACACACACACACACACACACACACACACACACACACACACACACACACACACACACACACATACACACACACGCACGTATGGTCTCGCAATCAAACGGACAGCGTTAGGTATACGCAATCCAAAAACCAAAGTTCGATTCCTGGCCGAGGCTGAAACTAAGGGATAATATCTCTCGCTTGATGCCTCTGTTCACCTAGGTTTAAATAGGTACCTGAGAGTTCGTTAAGAGGGGAGGTGAAAGACGGCTGCAGTGACATCAAGGAAGCGAAGAGGGTTAGGACGAGAATACATTAATTTTCAGTGCCAAGGAACTCCTACAAGTACACAGATGTCGATGCTAATTTGGCGCCAAAATTGGGTTATGTTCGTGGGTAAAAAGGGCGCACCTGATGGTTGTCATAGCAACGATTTTTAAATATGCCGTACTTAGTGGCCACCCCTCCCCCCCTCCCCCCCTCCCCCCTCCCCCCTTCCCTTCATCCCTACTTAAATATTCATCTGTTTATGTTTTTCTGTGAATTATTATTATTGTTATAGTACCATACTGCGTTCATTATATACAAGGATTTATTATACCTGTGATTATCTATATATATTTTTTAAACAGTACTGGAATACCCCCATCAAGGATTCGAACCAAGGCCGCAAAGACATCAACCACCGTAGTCCAGTTCTATGCCCACTCTGCCAGCCAGAGTATATCGGTGTGAAAGATGGTCCTCAGACCTTCATCACTCCACTACGCTCCTAGTTTCATACACGCGCATATTTGGCTCGGCGTCAGCCAGGAATATGCTTGGATCATCTTGCACCAGTCCTGGACTGGTGCAGTTCTGCGGCCATCTTTCACGCGTGTGGAGCTGGGACACACTTGGATCTTCCCAGTAACTATGTAAGCAGAAAATAGAGAAGGGAACTATCAGGAGAGAGCGCCAAACCATTACGACTATATAGCAGTGAATGGGATGGGATGGGGTCAGGATAAGGATTTGGGATGGGACGGGGGGAAGGAATGGTGCCCAACCACTTGGACGGTCGGGGATTGAACGCTGACCTGTATGAAGCAAGACCGTCGCTCTACAGTCCAGTCCAAGTGGTTGGACAGTACTACTAATACTAGTACTATAATTGTTATGCCTAATTATAGGTTGAGGAAATCTTCGTAATTTAAAACCAAATCATCGATTGAAAAATATATGTTTACATTCCCTTATTAAATAATATTTAATACAAGAAAACAGTAAAAAAGAAACATTAAAGAATCTTATGAGGTAAATTTGAGGAAAATTTAACTTGAGGAAGAAATATTGTTAGGAAAAACGGAGATTCTTCCTTATGGTTTGGCGGGAAGGAATTTTTTGTTATAGGAATCGTCGCCAGACAGACAAGAAGAAAAATTCCCAGAGACCCTAACCTGCAGACAGCAGGAGAAGCCGAGGAGACAGCAGGAGACAGCAGGAGAAGCCGAGGAGACAGCAGGAGACAGCAGGAGAAGCCGAGGTCTGCACAGG